ATGGAATGTTTTGAGTAGAGTCAAAGAGAAAATAAAGAATTCACTAAGGCCAAGGCTGCAGAGATAATGGGTAGATACCGATTGCAAGTGGTCGATTTAGAAACATCGCTACCCCACAGACTGCGGAAAGCATGCATAAATTCATTAGAGTTTAGTACAACGACTTGAAAATATCATTTTGTAGGGAATCGAAGGCTAAAAGGGCGACGATTTGAAAAGGCATGTTTCAAAATTAAGCTAACTGTAGTCGGCCACTATCCAGGTAATGAACTACGCAGTCACCACAATTAGCGAACTGTAGTTCATTTATAGCCGGCTAGTTGCACGGCATTAGTTGACGGTGTGCTACTTCCGAACAAAGCTGATTGTGAGAAACGATAGTTCACGCGTCAGTTTGCACAATCACTAACCATCCCATTTGGTTGCTATCTCATGAATGCCAATTTGGATGGAGCAGTAAGAGAAAGACAGGATAGTTAAAGTAGAGTGGAAGGGAAAGTGCAGAATGCCTACTTCAGATCAAATAGTCTGCAACCCGAAAGCAAATTGACACGATGATAGGCCTGTTTCCATAATCAGAAATATAACAAAGTGAAACAGAAAGGGAAAGTGAGAGAGCAACTGTGACCAACATCAGTTTCTGTGACGAAAATATGTGGTATGCTCAGGCTTGAATTCGGCTATTAATATAATGGGATCCTATCTGTACCACGGTCAGCAATAGATAATTGCTGATCTGAAATTTAATCGGGAGTAGTTCTATATACCAGTTTACATATAACATGATTTCACGCCAGTCAATTTTTCCCATTAAGGAACATCTCATTTGAAGTGTTCTATGTCAAAGGAATCACCGGGAATATGCGGAAGAGAAAACAACATTGACCTGGGCCAAACGAAGTTGAACGTGAGCTTCGAATTGGGGATACTTGGATACTTTCAGTTGAGCATGGACTGCATGACTAAATGTTTTGCTTAAATGTGCCATAGTTCATGTTACACCGTAGATCACAAGCCCAGCACCAGTAGTGGTGAGTGCTACTGCATGCGCCTCATCGGAGCAGCATTCAAAACATAAAATACACGGGAGCTAAGCAACCCAGTGGGAAACTCTCTCTCACTCGCTTTCGACTGCAAGGAAGCGTGCTTTGGAGAACGAATGCTTTAAAGGACCATAGTTCACGAACCTGGAGGAACACAACCAGTTGTTGGGGCTGTTGCTGTTGATCAGTCGGACTTTGGGCTGTGGCCAGTCGAACCGCGTGACGTAGATGTTGTAACACGGTCAGAATGAAGTAGATGTGGTAGGGTTCCGAGTGCAACAAACAGATCACCATAAAATCAATTATGCCACTCCAATCGAGATAATTCCAAAAGCATTGTTTCATCCAACGTCTGACAATCTGTGAGGTGAGGGAATATCGAGAAGAAGATACACCGAATAGTTTACTCTTTTGTACTACTACACTGTGAACATTAGTATTTGGAACTAAACTGTTAGTAAAAAGGCAGAGGTTAAAACAACAATAGATACACAAGTTCTACACAACGACTGGAATATAAATCAAGTACAAATCGAAATCGGTTTGGCGAAATTCCGGCAAAAAATGTCCATTTCTTTTGAACTATACAACCTTTTCAAAGCTTTCACTATCTTTGGTACTTGTGTATTATTTTAAGTATTCATTGGCATTCATTATTTATATATATGGCCTCCGAAAGTGTCAGTATGGTCGGGGTAGTTGTCTGGGAATGTGACCGGTCACCATTTCCTTACACCTCGTGAAACGCTGTCATACGACCAAGCGTCTCCAACAGCTTTTGCTGAGGAAGCCTTAATTGCTGACTTTACGTGGCGGAGGTGATTTCCCGCCAAAATGAGAGGACGAAAAGCCGACATTAGGGGCTATAACCTGGTTGGTAAACCATTGGCAACTCCCAAGGGAATTGGCTAAAGCCCCTGATTCCAAACCAACCAAGAACAGGCGTAAGAACCACATGGACACATTCCTGGTTGCAGCAGTGGCCACCGGCTCAATTGGACATCAAAGTGTATCGGGCTTCTTGGACGTTTGACCCCGTTCCAAGGTACGTATGATCCAATGACTTGGACACCGGCCGCCAATGGACTGCGGACTCCGAGCTCTGTCCTGTTTTCTTG